TAGTTGGATTTTCAAATATTGACCATTCCTGGACTCCTTGCTACAGGGTTTCGTACATCTGCTGTGACACAGGACTGGTCTTGTTGGATAATTCTGATGCCAATGAGAAAATTAAATGAGATAAGAAGGTAAATGGTTTAGTATGCAACAATGGCAGTTAGTGGCGTTATTATTCTCATTACCATATTGTGCATGTTTATGCTGCCTCCTGATTTTATTGGAAAAAGTCTTACATGCTTTTTTACACAGAGGCATTGCAAGTTAATTCAGAGTTGATTTTAGGGAAAAATATTACTTTGGACATAAAATATACAGCTTTATAGACATATTCATTGGGAAATGAAGTTACATATATGGACAATTCTAGTGACTAAAAAGCAATTAATAGAATCAATTACATTTTATTGCCTATGAAGTGCATAGACAAAGTAAGTATGATGGAAAAATGGCATAAAACAAACAGCAGAATGAGATACATTTTAATGCACAGGCAAAGTAGCCACGGAGCTTGTAAACCTCACTTGTGCTATGACATTCGTGTTCTGCCATCCTGCCACTTGGGAGAAGGAGCTTCATTGTTTTTACCCTTTTGTGATCCACTAGCATGAACTAGTGGCTAGTTCATGCACATTGGCAGAACATTCTAAATTGTTCTGAATCTTTCTAGCTGTATTATTAATTCACTTAGATCTTTCCGAGATGTATTATTTACTAGATTTAAAGTGTTTCTAAGAATTAGTGTAGTAACTAAGTAATGGTAGAAATGAATCTGGGATGCATTAAATATTATGGGAAAGAAGTTCATTGCAATGAAGTGAAATTGCTTGTACCATTAATTAACCTGCTACTTTAATATCTTCACTGTGGTTTTGTAACTTTATAAGAGTTAGCTTGCTTTAGGCCTGGCATGGTGTGGAGAGAGGCCCAGCCAGCCCCTGTTTCTTCCAGCTATTCCAGCTGAGGCATCAGATGTGTGGGTGAAGAAACCATCCTGGACATTCAGTCTTATCTGATGGCAACCACATGAGGGATCAAAGTGGGGACCACCCAGCTGAGCCCCATCCACCACAGAACCAGGATAGATAATAAATTGTTGTTTGAAGATACTAAGTGTTAGGATGGTTTGTTGTGCAGCAATGGATAACTGGAATATAGGGTGATTTTGTTTCTTCATTTTCTTGTAAGGCTTGTTGAGTTAATTCATATAGAATTTTATGATAGCTAGGACAAAGTCACTGCTCTGTATCAGGAGCAATTTCAGTTGATTTTCTATTTCTTGCCTTGTTTCTAAAAAGTACATTTCCAAGGGGCCCTGGGAAGAAAATGACTGGTGAATCAAATACCATAATAGAAAGTTAGGGGAGGAAAAACATTTTCTACCTTCGGCTTTATTTTTGTCACTCTCATAAATGATTGCTCTGGAAAAAAAATTACACAAGTTATATTAGTTTTTCAAAGTACAGACTTGAAATTTGGGGGGAATTTATTGAAATTCTCTTTATGGTTTAATTTATGGCCAAGTAGAACTATCCTATTAATTCTCTTTTTTATTAAAGTGAATTTTATTTATTTATTTAGAGATAGGTTTTCTCCCTGTCATCTAGGCTGGAGTGCAGTGGCTCAGTCAGTGCTCACCGCAGCCTCCACCTTCTGAGCTCAAGCGGTCCTCCCACTTCAGCCTCCCAAGTAGCTGGGGCCACAGGTGCACCATGCCCAGCTAATTTTTTTATTTTTTTGTAGAGACAGGGTCATGAGTTCAGCTTAAATTCCAGAAGAAGAGAATAGTTATAGGTGGACCACAGCAATCCCTGCCAGAGTGCAACTGGATGGGGCAGGAGACTACATTAACCATGGTGGTCAAAGAAAGCCTCTTTTGTAAGAAAGTGATAGTGGAAGGAACCAAATGATAGAAAAGACTAAATTTCAATTCTGGCTTGTGACCCTCAGCCAGGCACTTTCACATAGTCACAGCCTATCTGCCCGTACGCGGCAGCGAGGTAATTTACTGTGTCTGCACTACCTTAGAGTAGATTAAGAACAGGGTAAATGGGACAAGATTTTCCCCCAGAGAAGCTGTGAAATTGAGATGGAAGTTTTCATCTCCTTTATCAAGAGTTTTTAGGGTTTTAAAAAACCCATTTGAAGGCTATTATAAGAAATCGAGGCCAGGCGCGGTGGCTCACGCCTGTAATCCTAGCACTTTGGGAGGCTTAGGTGGGCAGATCACGAGGTCCGGAGATCGAGACCATCCTGGCTAATACGGTGAAACCCCGTCTCTACTAAAAAAATACAAAAAAATTAGCTGGGTGTGGTGGCGGGCGCCTGTAGTCCCAGCTACTCAGGAGGCTGAGGCAGGAAAATGGCATGAACCCGGGAGGCGGCGCTTGCAGTGAGCCGAGATGGCACCACTGCATTCCAGCCTGGGCAACAGAGCAAGACTCCATCTCAAAAAAAATGAAAAGAAAGAAAGAAAGAAGGAAGGAAGGAAGGAAGGAGAGAAAAAAGATGAAGTAACTATTAAATGTGATCCACATGGACTGCTTATTATACTCGAGAATGGATTTTCCACTGGGTATCAAGTGATATCAAGAAAAGTATGCCATACTGCTAATATTCTATTTCTTGATCTAGGTGGAGGTTTATATGGGTGTATTAACTCTGTGATCATTCCTTAAACACATTTTTGGTTAGGCGCGGTGGCTCATACTTATAATCCCGGCACTTTGGGAGGCCGAGATGGGAAGATCACCTGAAATCAAGAGTTTGAGACCAGCCTGGCCAACATAGTGAAACCCTGTCTCTACTAAAAATGCCAAAATTCGCCGGGGGTGGTGGCGCACGGCTGTACTCCCAGCTACTCAGGAGGCTAGGGCAGGAAGATTGCTTGAACCTGGGAGATGAGGTTGCAGTGAGCTGAGATAACACCACTGCACTCCAGCCTGGGTGACAGAGCAAGACTCCATCTCAACAATAACAAAAATACATTGTCATCAACATATTTATAATTCATATACTTTTCTATATTGAAGTTGCTAAAGTTTATAGGAGGCTGTAGTTTTGGACAAGCTTCCTGTACTAGCCCCTAGCACACCAGACCAAACCAGAATAGTCACTTGTGCTACGTGCCAAGTAATCAAACTGAACTTTGAAAAAAGCAGGAGATTCACAGCACCAATCAGAGGGGGCCTAATTTACCTGAGCCAGCTTGATAAGGAAATCCCTCTGTTTTAACCCTTTAATAAGGAAGGCAGCTTTGAAATGACCAATCTGATTTTTATTCCCTGTTTCTATTTTCTTCAACCCTTTTGTGCTTATAAAGCCAAACCCCTCTGCTCAACTCACTGGAACACTCACACTATTTTATAGAATGAGATGTCACCCTGTTCTAGAATCACAAATAAAAGCCAATTACACTAAATTTGCCATAATTTTGTTTTTTGACAAAGTTATGCTTCAATTTTTTTTAAGTTTGGTTTTTTACAAATCAGACAAAGTAAGCATCCCCAAGTGTACTGTGTAGAGCATTCAGTGACAGAGGTTCTGTTAGTGTTAGTGGATCTCAGGAAGATCTGCTCAATGTAAGCTCTGTTTGAGCATCACAAAAACACTCCTCCCCACCTTGATTATTTTTTGAGAGGACGGGGAAAATGTTGATGTAAACTTTGGAATGCCTTTATGGAATTTTAGGCTAGTGGTTCCCATGTGTCCTATTAGCCAACATTTCCCACCAGATTTATTCTCATGCCCTTCCAAGTTTGGGAACCCCACATCTTTTCTGGGGTCACAGTTCCCTGTTTCATGACGGACAGGTAAAAGCCAAGTCTCTCTCTTGCATTTTTTAATCTTTTTTTTCTTTTATTATTATTATTATTAGAGACAGAGTCTCTGTTGCCCAGGCTGGAGTACAGTGGCACAATCTTGGCTCACTGCAGCCTCCGCCTTCCGGGTTCAAGCTATTCTCCTGTCAGCCTCCCGAGTAGCTGGGATTATAGGCACTCGCCATCACGCCAGGCTAATTTTTGCATTTTTAGTAGAGTCGAGGTTTCACCATGTTGGCCAGGCTGGTCTTGAACCCCTGGCCTCAAGTGATCCACCCGCCTCGGCTTCCCAAAGTGCTGGGATTACAGGTATGAGCCACTGCGCCCCTGGCACCCAGCGTAAATCCTTTTTGTTTGTTTATTTTGTTTGTTTGTTTGAGACAAGAGCCTGTTTGTTTGTTTGTTTGTTTTTTTGAGACAAGAGCCTCGCTCTGTAGCCCAGGCTGGAGTGCAATGGCGCGATCTCGGCTCACTGCAGCCCCCATCTCCCGAGTTCAAGCGATTCTCCTGCCTCAGCCTCCCCAGTAGCTGGGATTACAGGCGCCCGTCACCACGCCCGGCTAATTTTGTGTGTGTTTTTTTCGTATTTATTTTTTTTTTTAGTAGAGATGGGGTTTCACCATGTTGGCCAGGCTGGTCTCGAACCTCAAGTGATCCACCCGCCTCGGCCTCCCGAAGTGCTGGGATCACAGGCGTGAGACACCGTGCCCGGCCATTAAAGCCATTTTTGAAAAATGAAACCCATGTCTCATTCTGCCTCTACATCAAGAATGAAGACTGAAAGGAAACGCTAATTCATAGGGCAGCAGGTCTTTTAGTAATTTTTTCAAACCTGTTTGGTGGCCATTGAGCATTTTGAGAACGTGGTGAACCCTGTAGACCCTTTCCCTCCAAACATCGCAAAATATTGTCCGTTAAATAAGAGACTGATCTCACTGGCCCCATCTGTAGTTTTCGCACAACTGATTACGCCCTCCACTGTCCGGTTCGCGGGTCTGGAACCCGCCTCGGCCGGCGAACCGTTCCTGAACTCTGACCAGGAGTCCGCCTCTAAGACTCGCGGGGTGGGCGGGGTCGCTTGGAGGCAGCTGGCTCCGCCCGGCCGCGGGCGAGTCCGGAACACAGTTACCCGCTCCTGTTGCCCACCGGAACGCAAAGAGAGAGGAAGGCGCCAGGCTGGAAACGGAAGAGAGGGCGGGGACGTGTTTGGCAGCGGGACACACCATTTCAGTTGCGTTCTTGGTTCATTTTGTGTCTCGGCGATGTTTCCTAGAGTCTCGACGTTCCTACCTCTTCGCCCCCTTACCCGCCACCCTTTGTCCTCTGGAAGCCCGGAGACATCAGCGGCTGCGATTATGCTACTCGCTGCCCGGCACGGAACGATCAGGTACCGCAGTTCAGCACTTTTGGCCCCGCAGGATAACTGAAATATACAGGACCGTGCCTGGTCCTGTACATTTCAGTTATCCTCCGACTTCCTGGAGTCGATATTATTACCTGCTGGATCTTAGAAGCTATTGCTTTAAATCTGAGGAAAGAGAAATCCCAGAAAGAAAAGATGACTTGCCGAAGGTCATAGTGTGCGTGGAAAATAGAGCTACGATTACAAGCCTGGTCGCTGTGCTCTTAATACTACACGCCGCGCCTCATTCGTCTTATCATCTGTCAGTTTACTCAGGTTCCAAAAGCAAAGTTGTTTTTACCTTTTGCCTCCCAAGATTTATTTGATAGTCTCATTTGTTTTCCTTCATTTATTCTTTAGTTCATTACTGAAAAACTTGAAAAACAGCGTGTCGGTACTGGTTGTAAACCCCAAGTGAGACAGTCCTGCCATCACGGAGCGTGTAGTTCCAGCAAGTAGACAATTCCAGTGCTATGTAGTGAAGTAATAGCTGAGATAGTGTAGGTAAGCACAGAGTACACTGTTCAGCCAACATGAGTGAATATTTGCTGGGATAGCAAATAGGGACACCTAACCATTGTAGGGGAGACTCAGGATATCGTTTCTGGAAAAAGTCTGATGCAATCTGAAGGAGGACCACTGGTTGAAGTTAGCCAGGAAAAAAAGGGAATTGCGGCATACTTGGTTTTGGTATTTATTCTCTGAGAACTTTATTATGAAAACCTAATTCCACTGCATAAATTCCATGCGTAACACTCAGAAGGCAGTTTGGTTAAGTACAGTGCTGAAGCAGGTTAGTAGCAGTGAAGATGGGAAGGACCAGCTGAATGGAGGAGAAAAATTGCACAGGTAGAGTTAAAGGGATGTGACATCATGGGATAATGGTAGGGTGGTCAGAGGTAACTAAGATTTCAACTGGCTGCGTTGGAGTATTAGGGTATCCTTAATGTTAACAGAAGAATGTGGAGCCAGGCTTGAGAAAGATTTGTACATATGTTATAATTTTTAGAAAACAAAAAATACCTGTTTACATTAGGGGGCCTTTTAATATAGAAAGTGTGAAAAATGGAAAGTCAGTCTGAAAGAGGAGTCTTGAATGTGGTTTTGAAGGTGTTGCATTTTAAGTACTAATGAGATGCTGTCAGTGGAAACAAACTCAGGTGGGAGGTTAAATCTAGAGTTTTATTATTTTTAGTGCTAGGGGGTTACTTAGATGTGATTTTCCTATCATATGGGTTCCTTTCTGTGGTACGATAGCTCTTGAAAAAAAACACTGTAGTAAAGATTATATGTGAGATTCATTCCCCTGTTTACCACCTTTCTATTAAAATACCTTGAATATTAATTTTAAATGTAAAATAATAGACCGTTTTCTTAAATAGAATGTTATAATGAGAGTCCTGTGTACTGATTATGAGGATACTAGTTATGCAGTTGGTTTTTTTCTAATTTTAAAGTGCCTGATTTGATAGCCTCTGACGTTTTCATTAGCAGATCAAATAGTTTGTTTCCGCATTTTTGGAAATTGCCATTTCTCTTTCATGTAAGTATCCTTAACCTGCAGCTGCCATTTTCTGCCTTTGAGAACTTGATACTATATATGTGTGTGTATATATATATTTATTTATTTATTTTGGGACAGAGTCTCACTCTGTTGCTGAGGCTGGAGTGCAGTGCGCGATCTCGGCTCACTGCAACCTCCGCCTCGCGGGTTCAAGTGATTCTTCTGCCCCAGCCTCCCAAGTAGCTGGAACTACAGGCACCCACCACCACACCTGGCTAATTTTTGTATTTTTAGTAGAGACGGGATTTCACCATATTGGCCAGGCTGATCTCGAACTCCTGACCTCATGATCCTCCCACCTCCGCCTCCCAAACTGCTGGAATTACAGGCATGCGCCACCGCACCAGCTGAACTTGATAAAATATTTAACCCAGTGTCTGATACAGGCTCTTGAGCTCACCCGCATGAGAATCACCTGGGGTCTTAGTTAAAAATGTTAAATTTCAAACTAAGAACTGTGTTTTAAGTCAGCTCTCTGTGTGATTTGTATAACCTCTAAAGATTCATAACTACTGCTTTAACTCTGTGGGCAACAGTTTGTTCTGTAAAGTGAGAATAATAAAACCTGTTCTGTAAAATTGTAAGGATTAAGTAACGTACATAGCTACTGTAATGTGGTCCTCTGACCAGCAGCGTTAGCGTCACCTGGGAGTTTGTTAGAAATGCGAATTCTCAACTGTCTCCTGGACAAAGCCGTTGAATCAGAATTCTTTGGTGGGACCAAAGTGTGTTTTAGCAAGGAGCATAGATAATTTCTATGGGCCAGGTGTGGTGGCTCATGCCTGAAATCCCAGCACTTTGGGAGGCGAGCAGATCGGTTGAGTGTAGGAATTCGAGCCTGGGCAACATGGCGAAACCTTGTCTCTACAAAAAATTAGTACCAGGTACCCAGGAGGCTGAGGTGGGAGGATCCCTGAGCTCAGGGAGGTCGAGGCTGCAGTGAGCCGAGATCACACCACTGCACTCCAGCCTGTCTGACAGAGTGAGGCCCTGTCTCAAAAAAAAAAAAAAAATTCTATGCATATTAATGTTTGAGAAGCAGTGCTGTAGCACGTCAGCTTCATAAAGGCAGGGACCATGAAATTCTTATTTACTAATATATTGTCAGTACCTAGGATAGTGCCCACCACAGAGTAGATATTCACTATATTTAATGAATGACTTTTTAATATACCCTCTTACTGAAACTAACATATTCAGAGTTTTGAAAGTTCTTCAGTAATCAAATACCAAAACAAGTTTTTAACCCTACAGAATAAAATTGGATATTTGGGTTACTTAGAACTAGGAAATGTTTTACGTGAGTCTAATATAAATGTAATCATTTGTGTTGTTCTTTTTCATAAATGTATCCGGTGAAGAAAGCAAAAGTGACATTTCTAGCCATTGATTATTCTCTTTTCTGTTCCATTCTAGCTTACCTTACAAATGGTTATGGGTTAAGTGGCATGTCGCTCGATGAGAATGTTGATCAGATTAGGTAACACCCACTCAGAAAGTTTTTTTGAAATAATCTTTTTTACTGATAGAAATTTATTTTTGTATTGTTTAATGATAACTTTTTAAAGAGGTATTATGTTAAGAGCAAGGACTTGCAGTCAGTCACATTTGGGTTTGAGAATAATAAGTTGTCATTTATTAACCATGTCAGTGTTTTACTACCGAACCCTGGGGTAAATAGAGGGAGGGAACAGACTTGGGAGCACCAGCACCCCCAGACCTCCCCTGGCCACCCGAAGGACCAAGTGATCAATAGCTCAGCACACTTTTACGTATTTGTGGCACACGGCGTGTCTTAGTTCTTAGTGAGCTGTGAGCTACATGACTTTGGGACTTCTCTGATTTTCAGTTTCCTTATCTGCAAATTAGAGACCTTAGGGAGTTAATGTGGGTATGAGAAATGTACATAAAGTATATTACACAAGATGAGGCATGTAGTATATGCCAATAAATGTTAAGTTGCTGCTGTTATGGTTGTTAACAATAATTATAAAAGGAGACCAGCCTGACCAACATGGAGAAACCCCATCTTTTTTTTTTTTTTTTTTTTTTGAGACGGAGTCTTGCTCTGTAGCCCGGACTGGAGTGCAGTGGCCGGATCTCAGCTCACTGCAAGCTCCGCCTCCTGGGTTTACGCCATTCTCCTGCCTCAGCCTCCTGAGTAGCTGGGACTACAGGCGCCCGCCACCTCGCCCGGCTAGTTTGTTGTATTTTTAGTAGAGACGGGGTTTCACCGTGTTAGCCAGGATGGTCTCGATCTCCTGACCTCGTGATCCACCCGTCTCGGCCTCCCAAAGTGCTGGGATTACAGGCTTGAGCCACCGCGCCCGGCCAAGAAACCCCATCTTTACTAAAAATACAAAATTAGCCAGGCGTGGTGGCACATGCCTGTAATCCCAGCTACTCGGGAGGTTGAGGCAGGAGAATCGCTTGAACCCGAGAAGCAGAGGTTGCAGTGAGCCGAGATCGCACCATTGCACTCCAGCCTGGGCAACAAGAGTGAAAATCCATCTCAAAAAAAAAAAAAAAAAAAAAAAAAGCAAATGGAAAGGGCTTGAATTGAAAAAAATTTTAGATACATAGTGTTTTACTTTATTAGACTGTGTTGTATTTTTCATTTTTTTCTTTAATACATCTTTCCAGGATGAAAAATATCCAAAGATATTTTGGCACTAACAGCGTGATCTGTAGCAAGAAAGATGAGCAGTCTGTTCGAACTGATGAGACTTCCAAGGAGACTTCAGACAGCCAAGACAGTGCAAAGGAAAATACGAAAAAAGACTTGTTAGACATTATTAAGGGCATGAAAGTTGAATTAAGCACAGTAAATGTACAAACAACAAAGCCCCCCAACAGAAGACCACTTACAAGTTTGGAAGCTACACTTGGCAGGCTTCAAAGAGCTACAGAATATGCTCCAAAGAAGAGGTAAATTTAATTGTAATTCAAATGTTGTTTGTAACTCCAGTAAGTTTTTCTTTTGGTAAAAAATATTTTTAATACAAGTACTTGGGAAATGTTGAATTAATGAAGAATAAATATCAACTTGTAAACACAGGGACTCTAATAATTACTCGAGGCTGAGCGTGGTGGCTCACACCTGTAATCCCGGCACTTTGGGAGGCTGAGGCGGGTGGATCACTTGAGGTCAGCAGTTTGAGACCAGCCTGGCTAACATTGTGAAACCCCATCTCTACTAAAAATACAAAAATCAGCTGAGCATGGTGGCGTATGCTTGTAATCCCAGCAACTTGGGAGGCTGAGGCAGGAGGACCACTTGAACCCAGGAGGCAGAGGTTTCAGTGAGCCGAGAATTGCGCCACTGCACTCCGGCCTGGAGGACAGAGTGAGACTCTGTCTTAAGCAACAACACCAACAAAATAATAATTACTTGAGAAATGCTGTTATTGTATTATATTTAAATAACAAGAGGATATCTGTACACAAGCCAGAGAAAGGAAAAGAGAAGTGATCTCATTGAGAATTTCACTCTCTTACATATTTATCAGTGTTATTAACTGCCATGTAATTGCCTCTTTAAGTTGTTCATTAACAATATCATTTACATCTTGATTTGAAGGTAGCTTAATGTCTGTAAAGGACTTGCTTATTTAAAATTTTCCATTTTAAAGATTTCTGGAATAAAGTTTGAGCACATTGATTACAACTGCTTTATATGACTTCCCTTGATCAATACCTATCAGTGCTTTCAGCTTTCTTGGTAGTTTCCTCAGAGTATTACAATTACTTGTGTTTGTCAGAAGAGTATTATATTTAATTCTAAGTGCAGTCAGTGATATGTTGGCATTGTGCAGTAGGTTAAATGGCAGTATTTTTTTTTAGTGCTGTGTAGTGATGTATTTCAATGATGTCATTAACTCAAGTAGTAAGATATGTGGCTTTAGGATACTCATCACTGACTTCTGTTACCAGAACAAACAGACCTTAATAGAGTCTTCTGTTTCCCAGACTGATTTAACATTTTAATGGAACTTCTTGTTTTCTACATTATATCAAAAATACCTTTAGAAAGTATGACTGGGTGGTAGAGTAAGCTAATTCAGATGATCAGTACCCATAATAGGTACTTCTCCTCCTCCTCCTGCTTTTAGAAACAAAATGGTTATATATAAATATATGGAAAAAATAATACAAACATATATAAATATTTATCAAGAGTGGCATTTTTAAAGCTCCTAGACCTATTTATGACCCATTATGCTGTTTATTATAACTATAATTGAATTAACTATTACAGAAATGGTAAAGTGAGTTGAAGGCTTTGGAAAGAGTCAGTACAGGTCATTTAAAAATTTTCTTTCCAATTAGGTGTGAATGAGGCAAACATACATATGTGGGAAGATCATACACTTAGATTGCTTTGTAAGCTTTCTTACATTCTTGCTCCACTTTTCCACTTAAACTAAAATTGAGAGTCTTGGAGGATGGGTGTGATGTATATAAAAGATGTACCTTAGAGCCTCTATCATGGTCCTGTGTTCAAAGAAGAGGCTTTGGTCCCACATCAAAAGACTGGTGAATGAGGTACATTTGTTTTGAGGTTTTAAAAGGTGTCTTTTAATTATTTTTTTCCTCCCCTCCCCCTTTTTCAAGGACTCCAAGGTGCACGGGATTAGGTTAATCATGATCTTTGCTTCATGTGGCACTGTCATCATTGCTTCACACATAGCCTGCTTTTCTTTCTTTGTATTATATATTGAACCTTCATTGATTTGGTTACCATGGCTACACTACCTCCCAAACTTAGTGGCGTAAAACGTTCATTCATTATGCTCACAGATTCTGTGGGTTAGCAATTTGACTAGAACACGGTGGGGAAGGCCAGTCTGTGCTCTGTGATGTCTGGGGCCTCAATTGGAAGACTTGGAAGTCTGAGGCTGGAATCATCTGAAGTTTGCTCACTCATAGGCCTGGCAGTTGATGCTGGTTGTCAGCTGAGACCTTAGCTGAGGCTGTTAGCAGAAACACCTACCTGTGGCTTTCTTTGTGGCCTGGGCTTTATCACTGCGTGGTGGCTGAGTTCCAGGGTGGGTGTCTTAAGAGAAAGTGAGCCAAGAGAAAGTTGTATTTTCTTTTTAATGACCTAGCCTTGTAATAAGATTGGACACTACCATGATCACCCTTGTTCCACATTGATTTTCCTGGGATATTTGTTTTTATTACAACCACTCCTGAGAAACAATTTTAACAAAGATAGAATGTCATTGATAGGAATGGAGCAATATACAGGTGGCCCTCTGTATGTTCAGGTTCTGCGTCCACAGATTCAACCAACTTCTGATTGAAAAATATAAAAAAAGAAAAAAACACAGTGTAACAACTACTTACATAATTAGGTATTATAAGTAATCTAGAGATGATTTTAAAGTATTTGGAGGATGTGCATTACTTACACTCAGGTACTCTGCAATTTTATGTAAGGGGCTTGTGCATCCATCCTGGTGGGGGCCAGAGCTGTTCCTGGAAACAATGCCCGTATCCCACGGCCCCACCTCCCCCAACCCCTGCAGATATGAAGGGACTGCTGTAATGTTACTGTGAACTGCCTGGTTTACATCATTATTGACGTGGTTGTGTTTTCCTGTGGTGCCCCAGAGTGCCTTAGGGCACAGTTTGGGAGCCAGGGTCCCAAGTGGAGAGCTTGTGTCTTCTCCATTCATCTTTAGCTGAGGTAGATTCCAGGCTGGAATCTGGAATCGTCTGAGGGCTCTTTTCCAGTAGTTGATACTGGCTGTTGGCTGAGGCTTTAGCTAGGGCTCTTGGCCAGTACACTTACCCATGGCCTTTCCATGTGGCCTGGATTTCTTGCCTGGTAACTGAGTTCCACAGACAAATGTCGTGCGAGATGGAAGTGAAAGCTGTATCACATTATTTGATCTAGCCTCAGAAGTCACAGCATGTTACTTCTATCTTGTTCTGTTCATCAGGACAGTCACAAAGTTTCCCCTGGTTTTCAGGGAGGGAAGATAGATTCTCTTGATGGATATTTGGCAATGTTTTGGAAGAGCATGTAGAACCAGAAGTGATGCTGTCACTATTTTCTCAAAGTATAATCTGCTTTGATTATACATCTGGTACCTGATAACTGTAGAATTTCAGCTATATTATAGGCAACATTGTCATGACAAAATTGACCCCTAATTCATAGATTGCATCTGGCCTGGGAGAACTGTGGGCACCTGGTGGGGATACCATATTTAGGACATAAATGCAGTGATTCTTCTTACTGCATGTCCTTTGCAGGGACCCTGGAAACTGCATGTGGCCTTGTTACAAGAGATACTGGCTCCTGTGGGGCAGTAAGCCAGGCAGCTTGCAGATCTCATGTCCTTACTCTAAGATGAATGACTGTGTGAAGTGTCACCTGCATGTACACTGCAAGAACTCCTACTGAGAAGGACACCCAAGGCTGCCCTGCTGGCCTGCTGTAGTTCTACCTTTCATCTTCCTGAATGGACTGGACCAGGTGTCACCTGTAGTGGTCCTTTGGGTCTGAATGTTTAGTGAAACCTAAGAATATCCCTGGTGGTGCAGCAATAATCAAAATTTCTAGCATCTGCTTTAACTTCCTCTTAACCTGATTTGTTTGGAAGGCATCAGCTAACTATTACTTCCTTAATTGATCCCTGCTGGGAATTCATTATATTTCACACACCATCTGAAGTGCTAGAGACTGGACATTGAACAAAACAAAGTCTCTGCTTCCTACATTAAAATGGGGGGAGGGATGTAGGCGAGGAGATGTATGTATAGCGCGCGCGCGCGCGCACACACACACACACACACACACACACAATGTCTATACTATGTCAGGTGGTGAAACATGAAGAAAAATAAGAGTGATGGAGTTGGGCCAGGCACAGCCTATAATCCTAGCACTTTGGGAGGCTGAGGCAGGAGGATTGCTTGAGTTTAGGAGTTCAAGACCAGCCTGGCCAACATAGTGAGACCCGGTCTCTACAAAAAATGAAAAAAAATAGCTGGGTGTGATTGCATGCACCTATAGTCCCAGCTCCTCAGGAAGCTGAGGCAGGAGGATTGCTTAAGCTGAGGAGGTTGAGGCTGCAGTGAGCTGTGATTGTGTCACTGTACTCCAGCCTGGGTGGGGAAAAAAAAAGAATAGGGGTGCTGGAGAGGTGCTATTTTTAAGAATAATCAGGGAAGAACTCTGATAAGGTAACATTTGAGCAAAGATTACAATCAAATTAGGGATAAAGCCATGCAGATACCTGAAAGATGAATTCCTTTTCAGGCATAGAGGATAGAACTGCTTAGGCCTTGAGGCTGGAGTATGCAGTATCCTTCAAATTTCACAAATCTGTTTCTTTTCTTTTCTTTCTTTTTTTGATACAGAGTCTTGCTCTGTTCCCCAGGCTGGAGTTCACTGGCACAATCTCAGCTCACTACAACCTCCACGTCTGGGCTCAAGCAGTCCTCCCACCTCAGCCTCCCGAGTAGTAGCTAGGACTACAGACATGCACCATCACACCTGGCTATTTTTTTTTTTCTTTTTGTAGAGACAGTGTTTCACTGTGTTGTCCAGGTTGGTCATGAACTCCTGAACTCAAGTAATCTGCCTACCTTGGCCTCCCAAAGTGTGGGATTACAGACGTGAGCCACCATGCCCAGCCATTTATTTTCTTTTTCTTTTTTCTTATTTATTTTCTTTAAACACATATTCTTAGAAGTGGAATTGCTATGTCAAAAGATGTGCGTTTTTTTTGCCTTTGATCTATGTCACCAAGTTGCCTGCCAAAAGCGGTGCCAATTTAAGTACCCACTCAGTAGTTTCTTTCCCTCATCAGAATTCTTTTCTGAAATCTTATGTTATTTTATTTTATTTTAAAGAAATTTTAAAAGTACAGAATGTTATCAAGGGGTAAAGTATGTATTCATGAAATAGTTTTAATTACAGGATAGAATAGATTGTTCAAAGATACTTTAAAAAGTTCTCCTTACATTGTTAAAATATATGAAGAAAGATCCCTGTATGTAAAAATTATTCAATGACAGAGGCTCCCCCATAATTTTTATTAATTAGAACATTCCCAATTATAAAGCCAGAGAGTATAACTATATATGAAACCATTGTTATGAAATGTATGATTCTAGAAAATGAATATTCATCTATGTTCTGTGTATACTGTGATCAAGTACATAAAAATTTGAAAGTGAAGTTCACAAGTAGTTTATGAAAGAAATACAGTGACCTTGGAATAAGATTAAAACTTTATTCACAGGTAACAGTTTTGAAAGCACATTTTATTTTAACTGTTATATTTCCCTTTTTTTTTTTGAGGCAGACTCTCACTCTGGCTCAGGCTGGAGTGCAGTAGACAAATCATGGCTCACTGCAGCCTCAACCTCCTGGCTAATTTTTTTTTTTTTCCTTTTCTTTTCTTTTTTTCTCTATCCCTGGCTGGTCTCAAACTCCTGGGCTCAAGCGATCCTCCCGCCTCAGCCTCCCGAAGTGCTGGAATTACAGGCATGAGCCACCGTGCCCGACCCCTTGTTTCAGTCTTCTGTTTTTCTTCTATTCCTATCAGATTTTAGATCTTTCATACCTTAGTTAAGTCCTTAAAATCTTTCTCCAGGAACTTCAGGAATTTGGGAAATTTAACTTTCGTATTAGGTAACAGATCATAATATAGAAAGCCAGGTATAAAAAAACATTAATTTGGATCCCACTCATTGAGATGTCAGTTCTCAGTGAGTTAAAAAATGTTGCAAATAGCCAGGCATGGTGGCAGATGGCTGTAGTCACAGCTACTCAGGAGGATGAAATGGGAGGATTGCTTGAACCCAGGACTTCGAGGCCAGACTTGATGACATATTGAGACCCCTGTCTCTTAAAAAAAAAAGAAAGAAAGAAAAAATGTTGTAAATAATTTATTTTGTTTTTATAATAGAATGTTTTTCTATTAACTTGCTCTAATTTAGGAAGCTTTTAAAAGCTTTTTCTTATGAAAAATTTAAAACATATGAAAAGAACATAAAATGGTATAACCCCTTTCTACCATTGCCCAGCTTCAACAGTGATCAACATTTTGCCATTCTTGTGTCATCTATGCCTTCACCCTCTTTCCATCTCCTACTTGATGATGATTTATGGCTCTTTATTTTCCGGTGAAATTTACAGATATTAAAGTGTACAAATGTTAGCTGTAGGATTTTGACAAACAGATAAGCCCCTGTGACCCACACACTTACAAGACACTGCGTTTCATTTTCACCTTCCCAGTCAGTAGCCATCAGTCCTGAGGCAATTGCTGTTGTGATTTTTTTTTTCCACCTCAGATTAGTGTTCCCTGTTCTGGAACTTGATATAAATGGAATCATACAGATTTTTTTGTTTGTTTGTTGAGAGTCTAGCTCTGACAGCCAGGCTGGAGTGCAGTGGTGCAATCTTGGCTTACTGCGACCTCCACCTCCCAGGTTCAAGCGAGTCTCGTGTCTCAGCCTCCAGAGTAGCTGGGATTTTACAAGCACGCGCCGCCATGCCTGGCTAATTTTTGTAGTTTGTATTCTTTGTGTCCAACTTCTTTCACTTGATCTAATGTCTGTGGAAGTCATTCATGTTGTCATGAGCTGAGTACTCTTCCATTGTATGGATGTGTCACAATTTGTTTTTCTATTCTGATGATAGACCTTTAGGTTGGTTCTAGTAAAGTTTCTGTGAACTGGTTAACCTGCCTTAATATTTGCTTACAATGTATATTGTTTCCAAAATACAATAGCATCTAATTAAAAATTCCAGTAATTTATAATTTTTGAGGCTGGTCTGTCCTTCGCCCCTCCACCTTAATATATTGTTCTGAGTTAGTGTTGTGCCTCAGCAAATATCCATTAATTTTAACATTTAACATTTCAAAGTTTATATAAAACCGGTACCTAATGGTTGAGAATTCTTGCCTTTGTCAGAAATGGAATTGAATACTGTTTTGAACACCGAAGTTTTCTCCAAAAATCATTTTACTTTTCACTAAACTAATGGCATAATAAGCAATTTCTCTTTTTTGTTTGTTTTGTTTTGTTTTGTTTTTGAGATGGAGTCTCACTCTGTCTCCCAGGCTAGAATGCAGTGGTGTGATCTTGGTTCACTGCAACCTCCACCTCCCAGTTCAAGCAATTCTGTTGCCTCAGCCTCCTGAGTAGCTGGCGCTACAGGCGCGTACTACCACGCCCAGCTAATTTTTGTATTTTTGGTAGAAATGGGGTTTCACCATGTTGGCCAGGCTGGTCTCGAACTCCTGACCTCAAGTGATCCGTCTGCCTCAGCTTTCCAAAGTGCTGGAATTACAGGCATGAGCCACCGCACCTGGCCAATCTCTCTTTTTTTCTTTCTCATTTGCTTTTCATTTTCTTTTTCAGAACTGAGCCCCTGAGTCCTGAGTTGGTGGCAGCTGCATCTGCTGTGGCAGATTCTCTCCCTTTTGACAAGCAAACAACAAAGTCAGAGCTGCTGAGGCAGCTCCGGCAGCATGAGGAAGAGTCAAGGGCACAGAGAGGTGCAGAGCGACCTAAAATTAGGTGAGTGAATCAAACCCTTAAGTCAGTAATGTTTATATCTCAAATTGGGCCATTTTCATGTGGCTAGTGAGTAATACACATAATATATACCACGTAAGTGGAATTTGTATATAAAATATACCACATAATTTTAGCAATTCAACTTTTTTAAAAAACTTATGTCTTAATTGTGATTATAGTTTTTAAAAAAACAATTGAATAAAGTTTCCTTTTAGGAAGTTACAGTTTCTTGTCCATGAAAAAAGAAATGGTAAATTCAGTAATGTTATTCAAAATAAATAACAGGTAGCTTCTCTGAGAAAAGTAATTTCTTCCAGTTAAATAGCTTGCTGGTTTTATGCATGGTATGATCATCTTCAGGTCTGTTTCCTTCTCTTTTTCCTCTTCTATATTTCTTCTGACATCTTTCCACTCGTTCTCTTCATCTCTCATTGTTTTATACCGTGTTATACTACTTGCTGCCTTCATTATAGTAAGTAGTAAGTATAGTAAGCAGTAACACTGCCTCATTTTGGAGAGTGATCTAAATCAGTTGTTCTCAGTGTGCATACCAGATTTATTTCAAGAAATTAAAAGAAATGGCCATGTGTGCTGACTCATGCCCATGATCCCAGCACTTTGGGAGGCTAAGGCAAGAGGATCACTTGAGGCCAGGAATTTGAGACCAGCGTGGGCAAAAAAGCAAGACCCCATCTCTACAAAACATAAAAAAATTAGGTGAGCATGGCGGCGTGTGCCTGTAGTCTAGCTACTTTGGAGACTGAGGCAGGAGGATTACTTTTTTTTTTTTTTTGAGACATAGTCTCACTCTGTCACCCAGACTGGAGTGCAGTGGCGCGATCTCGGCTCACTACAAGCTCTGCCTTCTGGGGTCATGCTATTCATCTGCCTCAGCCTCCCGAGTACTGAGACTATAGGTGACCCCCACCACGCCCGGCTAATTTTTTTGTATTTTTAGTAGTGATGGGGTTTCACTGTGTTAGCCAGGATGGTCTTGATCTCCTGACCTCGTGATCCGCCTGCCTCAGCCTCCCAAAGTGCTGAGATTACACGTATGAGCCACTGCCCCCAGCCTCAGGAGGATCACTTAAGTTCAGGGTTTGAAGTTGCATTGAGCTATGATCTCACTACTGCACTCCAGCCTGGGCGATAGAGTGAGACAAGAAACTGTAATTAAAAAAAAAAAAAAAGGCCAGGTATGTTGGCTTACGCCTGTAATCCCAGCACTGTGAGTGGCTGAGGTAGGTGGATCACCAGGTCAGGAGATCAAGACCATCCTGGCTAACACAGTGAAACCCTGTCTCTACTAAAAACACAAAAAATTAGCCTGGCGTCGTGGCATGTGCCTGTAGTCCCAGCTACTCGGAAGGCTGAGGCAGGAGAATTGCTTGAACCCTGGAGGCAGAGGTTGCAGTGAGCCGAGATCACGCCACTGCACTCCAACCTAGGCAACAGAGTGAAACTCCATCTCAAAAAAAAAAAAAAAAAAAGGAAGACATAGATATCTGGACTGTTAGTTCAGTGACTCGTTTTATTTGTGTTTGAACAAATAAAAAGCAACAAATAAATATGGCTAACTCTTGGTTTTAATTTAGTTATTGGATGTAGGTGATAGGTATAACAGATACTGATTTTACTTTCCTATCATTTTCTCTGAATAATTTTTCATGCGACACATTTTAAATGAAGATTTCTGAAGAACATCTTTAAAAGATGACAGTAAACAAATTGTAATGTTCCATGTTATGTGACTGTTAATAGGTGACATTTTTTATTTAAACATTTTTATGCTATGTAGTTAGTGCATAAAAATGAAATAAGAAACGATCTCAGTCTCGTGTTTAAGGAAGTTTATTATTGTTCTGTAGCTAAGATTTCTAATACACTTGACCTTTTTATTATTTCAGTTTCAGTAACATAATATCAGATATGAAAGTTGCCAGACCTTCTGCAGCTAGAGTTCGTTCAAGACCGGAGCATCAGATTCAATTTGATGATGGCTATGACAGTTCTCCTGACCAGCAGAAGACCACTGATCTTAGAAAAAGGTATCAGGCTTTGTAATCTGCTGGGTTTCGTTTGTGTAGTTTGTTTTTACCTTAACTGTAGATTTATCTTCTTATGTGTGTTTATTATTGCTGTTGGATATTTGAACATTATGAATGCATTTACATCTGTGTTCTTACTCTCTGTATACCACTTCCTAGAGAGGGAACCATGTGCTGGATTTAGCCAGTCCTGTAGTTTTCCATACCTGAAATCAACATGGGCCATGCTTCACATCTACCCACAATGAACAGGGGTCCTTTGATTTAGAATAAGAGGAGCTGACTGAATTCTGAGCAAATAAGTATTTTGTGAGAAACATTATTTTTCATTTTAAATATGCGTCTAATACTGTGTATTCATATAGCCTTTATATCTCAATACATGCTTATCTGTTGGCGTAGCTTAGAGAAATAACCCATCATCAACAAAAAGAAGGAAAGGCAAGAGGAAAAAAGTTTATATAATACTTTAAAATGGTAGATTATTTGTGGCCACTTGAATTTACTGATTTGAAGTTCTTAAAGATGCTGAGCTATGCCTTACATAGTTATTTGAGAATTTAAAGTTGTTCTGTATTTGCGTAATGTTTCTGTTCTTTTTCTTCTTTAAACCCTGAAAGTGATAGATGGGAAGGAAGAACCAGATATTTGGCATGGTCTGACAAAAATTAACTTGTCTTTATAGCAGGATATGCTCACAATTGGAGTGTTTTCAATGCATTGTGTATTCTGTGGATTTGTTTTAAGTAAAATCAGGAACTTGAGTTAACTCCTTCCAGGTGTTAAATTACTAATTTATACAGGAAAGTTGGAAAAGGTGGTCAGCAGTTAACACAGGAAGTTCAAGAGGTTATGGTGACTTTGGAAGATTATTTGAATTACTAATTTAAAGTGATTTAGTATCCGTTACATGTTATTGAATACAGGAGAAAGGTGTACTTGGAGTTTTACTTAAGAATATTTAACTGAATCAGTTAATCCTCGAGAATATTTAACTGAATCATTCATCTTGAACATGATTCTGTGCAACTACATTAGGATGGTATATTATAATCTGATTTTTAATATTAGATTTGATATTTAATATTTTAAAACTTAGAAACTAAAGTAGGAAAGGGGTTTCTGTGCCTTCAATGTGTTAACAAGCCAGCTAGAGGTGAGTAAGGGGAAGCAGTGATGAGATGCCCAGTTGTTCACCCTGCTGTGACTGGGGCAGGATCTGGGGTATCAACCCCAGACAACCCAGGCCTGGACTGACTTCTTCTTTTGGAGATTGATAGTTCACACTGGCCTGCCTCAGAATGTTGGCACTGCCACTGACTAATTCTGTGACAGGGGCACCTTTTATAGCCTCTATCAGCCTGTTTCCCCAGCTATAAAATGCTGAAAGTGAAACCTGGCTTAAATGGCTTTCTTAAAGAATAGAAAAGAAACACGGGTAAACTATTTGGTACATGGTAGGTGCTCAGCAAATGTCCATTCCCTCTCTTTGTAGTACATTCCTCTTTTGAAATTCAATACTTTACCAAGGCATTTGCCGCCTGCTCTGACTTGCTTTAATCCACCATCCTGTTTACCAGACATGTGGTTGAGGGGGAAGAATGCAAGGCACTGAAGAGAGTTCTGGAGCATAAAATCCTTTGTTTACAAATAACTTGGAACTACTAGATGGAAGATTTTATGATTTGAGATCACATTATTTAACGTTCATATGGTATTTGCATTTTTTCCAGTTATTTGTATTTAGTAGAGAGAAGTAATTTAGTTTATTAAAAAAACAAGAATTCAAAATTATTTTTAAAACTAACCTTCCAGTTTATTTTATTATTTTTTATTTTTCTTTGAGACGGAGTCTCACTCTTACCGCCCAGCCTGGAGTGCAGTGGCACAGTCTCAGCCCACTGCAACCTCTGCCTCCTGGGTTCAAGGGATTCTCCTGCCTTAGCCTCTCAAGTAGCAGAGATTACAGGCACCTGCCATCACGCCTGGCTAATTTTTTTTTGTATTTTTAGTAGAGACGGGGTTTCACCATATTGGCCAGCCTGGTCTCAAACTCCTAACCTCAGGTAATCCACCTGCCTCGGCCTCCGAAAGTGCTGGGATTACAGGCGTGAGCCACCTCACCTGGCCAACCCTCCAGTTTATGAACTGGATTTTAATCTGCCAGTAAATTTATTCAAGTAAATATGTGAATTGATGCATAAAGCAGTTGATTATCAAGTGTGTGAGAAAATGTTACCTATTAACTCTCTGATATTTCAATAGTTAATTAAAAATAGTCACGTAAAGAAAGTTAATAATTATTTTAAAATGCAGAATGATTGCTTTATGAAAGAGAATGTTGTGATTTATCAATGCAGTCTTTTATAATTATAATTTATAATTAAACATTGCAGTGTTTTCTGCCCTTAAAGACAAATGTTGACTTTAACAGCTTCTATTTTAGCATAGTTTTATAGTTTTTCACAGCATGGAGTTTTTAAAACCTTAATATAAAAGCGAAAAAATAAAAATTATGGCAAAGTAAGCTAATCTTTTCAATTAGGTATTTTGGAAATTAAATTGCTGTAACTGATTTGTTGTATATGAAGCAAAACTTCAAGTGCACATTTCTGTTTTTAGTTTATCGGTCCTAAAAATGTGGCATTTTAGCTAAGATTTTTTGATGTGGGTCAGTGGAATTATTTTTAATTTCTACATAGAATATTTCACTTAAGGTATTTTCTCATAATTTTTGTTGACAGTTTAAAATATATTCATTAAAATGTTATTTTCTTTTTTTAGACTTAGGAAAAACATATTCTCGGGGAAAAGACTTAATATTTTTGACATGACAGCAGTTACTAAAGAAGCACCTGAAACAGGTTTGTTAAGAATAACACTCTTTCTCCTGGGGAGAAACATTCCATCTTTCCAAGATGTCCTTAGTGTTCTAATGGTGTAATAGTTGGATATTTTAATATTTCATTCTGTCATTGGCCTGGATCCTGCTTACGAATGTGGCAGTTGTTATAAGGAAAACTTGGGACTGTAACGTCCCCCCAAGCTGGGAAGGAGTTGAGAGACCAAAGTATAATTTGGGCAAGTCCAGCTTTGCAAATAGATGAGTTTACTAGAACTTATATACTGGACATTCCTGAGCAGCTCTAGAGTCACCCTGTCTCCCATTTCTAAGCTGCCTTTCAGCTAATGTTCTGGCTGTTTGCCTACTCTGTGTGTGCGATGACAGTGTTATCTGATATGTTCCCAGGTATGCCCAGGGATGTTTGGGTTCTCAGGGACACCTGCTTCTCAGCTAGGCACCATGGCCTTGGCTCCCTGCCCAGGCTTCAGGATCCAAGCAACATGCATAACGCTCTTAAGTAACCTGGTGGGGGACACATCACACTACAGTTGCCAACCCTGTTAGTTTTGGTCAGGTTTCCCCCTTGAAATGTTGCATTCTTTGAGACAATGGGAGGTAAAGTACTACCAATTACCAAATCCAGATGTCCAGATTAGCTACTAATTTGGGTTAGAACATTAATAATCAACTACCATTTACAGTGTATCTCTATGCTATTACATAAAGATATACTGGTTCCTGCCCTTAGGCAGCTTAGAAGAGGAGATAGTACAAAATAACTTCCTGAAGTGACTTAGTGATTGTTCCGGAGATGGGAAGAACATTCAAGGAATATATTTAACAGACCTATAGTGTTTTCTTTGGGTAAGAAATTTGCCATTTTAAGTCTAAAAGAGAAATAAGAGTGTCCTCTTGCTTGACATTACATTTAGTTTACTAGTAAAATAAATGAAGAAACTTAATACAAATGGTCTGTAGCATATAAGTGATGAGCATTTCTAAAGAAAAGAAGTTAGTTTTTTGGATCTTGGTAGAAATAATGTTGTATATGAACTTGGGAGGCTGAGACAACAGGATGGCTTGCGACTAGGAGTTCAAGACCAGCCTGGGCAACATATTGAGCCCGTTTCTCTAAAAAATAGAAAAAAATTATCCAAGCATGGTGGTGCATGCCTATAATCCTAGTAACTTGGGAAGTTGAAGTGGCAGGATCACTGGAGCCCAGAATTCGAGGCTGCAGTGAGCTATGATTGTGCTATAACACTCCTTCCTAAGAATCAGAGTGAAACTCCATCTCGAAGGGGGGAAAAAAAAGAATGTTGTATATGATAGATAAGTTCCTAGGCGGGCCTCCAAGGGCTCATTTAATGTTTCTACAGCTACTTATATGAACTTTTGATTTTCCCTCTATTTAATAGACTATTAGGGACTGGATCTCATTCATGTATACCTACTCATGTGGCTTACAGATAATAGGAACTAGTTATCTTAAATCTTAAATTCTTTTTTGAACAAACTGTACTGTAAAATATGTATCTATAGAGGAAAGAAGTTAATTCAGTGTTTGTTCATTTGAACAGAAGGTGAAGCTAAAAGAACAACCCCCTTCTTGTATTACAAAAACTGCATTCTCTTGTGTATGATGAAAAGGAAGTGCAAAATGCATAGGGACAAGGAATCGCCTCTCCCCTGCTCAAATGGTTAAGCGTGCATCAGAAAGGAATTTGTTGGCAGGGCACAGTGGCTCACGCCTGTAATCCCAGCACTTTGGAAGGCCAAGGTGGGTGGATCACCTGAGGTCAGGAGTTCGATACCAGCCTGGCCAACATGGTGAAACCCCCTCTCTCTAAAAATACAAAAATTGGCTGGGCATGGTGGCGGGTGCCTGTAATCCCAGCTACTCAGGAGGTTGAGGCAGGAGAATCACTTGCACCCAGGAGGTGGAGGTTGCAGTGAGCCAAGATTGCCTGTCCAGCCTGTGTGACGAGCAAAATTCTGTCTCAAAAAGAAAAAAAAAAGGAAGAAATTGGTTGTCAGGGCAGCTGCTATTGTCCAGCCAAGACAGACACTTGAAGATTCTTGAGATTCTTGAAGGAACCAGCTTACTTTTTAAAATGAAAAAATCTTATTTCTAAAACTGAAGTTAGTTGGCAAGGTAGCACCAAAGTTTTATGTATTTGATAAAACAGTATCAAATGATTATACTCTAGTGAGGACAATAGCACACAAATTTATGTAATAATTTACTTTCATGAAGGTACTGTGTGAATATGCTATACTTGCATGAGTCTAAAGAATGGTGTTTGTTCCCAATTAAATACAAGAGTAGCAAAATGTGGAAACGTAAAATTTAGCAATTGTTCACTGTTGTTTTGCCACCATCTGAAATAATGCTGGAAATATAGTTGGCATTCAGTAACTTTTTTATTGACTGATTGAATGAGTTATTCTGTTCCATGATTCCCATGTCTTGTTCCCCACTAAGTTCTTACCACTGCTACAAAGGATATAGTCGTAGGCCCTACTGGTTATCCTAGAGTCCACAGGCAGTATAGTTTAACAGAAAGAGTGTTGGTGTTGTGTGGAACTGGATTCCAATTCAGATTCTGCCGCACTAACCTTTCCCCACCTATAAAATGAGGGTTACTACATACATCTCGAAGATTAAATGAGGTAATCTGAGAAAAGTGTCAGGCACAGTGCCTGGAACATAGTGCATATTTAATAAATGCTTACAAATATTAGCAAGTGTAAAAATATAGTGATGATCCTAATGATGACGGAAAAAACGTAGGTCATTCAGTGACCACCGAGTAAAAGATAACTGAGACAATTAAGTTATTTTACTGGTGTGATTGCTCTGTAAATGTGGCTAGTGGAGGCTAACAACTGATTGTTTCCCAGTATTAGATGATGTAGGCCAAAATACTTAATATCTACACACATTTCTGCACATAAAGGCTTATAGAAATAGATTCAGAAGAAGCAAAATAGATAAAATAAGGCTTACCCAGGTAGAAGAGTAATTGAGCTATTTTTTGATATGCTTTAGTGGGGCTTGGCAAAAGTGGGTAAAGAGGTTAGCTGGAGGATAGATCATATGCAGTCTATGCCTCTAAACCAGAAATTGTGTTCCTAGGAATTTGTTCTGAGGGAATATTACAGATATGCACAGAATACAAGGACATTTGTCACTATAGTATTTAAAAGAGAAAATATATAAATGATCAAAATATTCAGTGGTAGGGGATTAATTGTGAAAAAAGTACATTACCAAACTATACGATCCTCATTTATTTTAAAAAGTGATATCACACAGAAAAAAATAAGAAAGATAGAAGATATTAGTAAAAATAACTAAAGAATAAAAATATAGGAAAAAAGGTAGCCAAGGGATAGATACTGATATTCATTTTCTTTTTACAGCTTTATTAAGGTATAATTTATGTGCAACAAACTGCATATATTTAAATTATATAACTTGACTAATTTTAACAAATGTATACATCCATGAAAATATCAGTTATAATTCTGAACGTTTTCATGAACCTACAAAGTTTCCTCGTGTCCTTTTGCAGTAAACGCAGACACACACACCCACACACAGTACGTAGGCAACCTTTGATCTGCTTTCTGTTACAATAGATTAGTTTGTATCTTTTAGAACTGTACATAACTGAAATCACATAGTATGTACTCCTTTGCATTTGGCTTCTTTGACTCAGCATAATGATTTGAGATTCATCCATGCTGTTACATGTACTAGTAACGCATTTTTATTACTGAGTAGTATACAGTTGTGTGGATGTATCACATTTTTGTACCTGTTCACCTGTTAGTGGACATTTGGGTTGTTTCCCAAATTACAACCCACATTTGGCTATTTCAAAGAAAGCTGCCATTAACTTTTGTGTACAAGTCTTTGTGTGGACATGTTTTATCTCTTGGGTGAATATCCAGGGATGAAACTACTATGTTGAATAATAGATATATTTTTAACTTTTTAAGAAACCATCAAACTGTTTTCTAAGGTGGTTGTACCATTTTATGTTCCTAGCAGCAGTAACTGGTGGGAATATGGCTCATTTTCAAAAGATGATCTGAAGTTTCAGAAGTAAATAAGTTATTGAAACATGTAATATGATAGTGGTAATTAGCCAACATGATAATACGTTACTCATAGGGTTGGTTGTGAGAATTACATGCACTAATGCATAAAATAAATACATTTAAGCACAGAGGAAGTAATCAGTATTCATTATCAGTTTTGTTATTCTGTTAATAAAACTTCTTTAGTTGTTAACAGTAGTACATTTGTAACTTATTTTGATAGACTAAAGATAACAGGCTAGACTTTAAAAATCAAAATCACATATTCTACAAAAAACATTCACATTCATAAAAATACCCTTACACAAAACACAAATTTATTTTTTCTTTCCAGTAGAGGGGGCAGTGATTACCTGGCATTGTAAAACAAAAGCTAAGCTTGCCATTATTGTAGTTACCATTTTTAATATAATTTTTGCAGTTATCTCTCAGTAACTTTTTATTTTATACTATTTAATTATGAGTGTCAGGGTCTGAAAAATACATGATCAATTCAAGATTGGTTGTAACTTTTTAAAAAAGACACTTACATTGACTTGTTCTTATTTAAAATGTCTTTGTTGTACAGACGCATCACCTTCACTGTGGGATGTGGAATTTGCTAAGCAGTTAGCCACAGTAGATGAACAACTCCTTCAGAATGGGTTTGAAGAGCTGATCCAGTGGACAAAAGAGGGGAAACTGTGGGAGTTCCCAATTAACAATGAAGCAGGTATGTGTTAATTTCAGGGGGTTATAAAATGTATTGAGTTTATTTCTGCCAGATACTTAACTTTTGGAGTGTAGATACTTACATGAATTTTAAAACCTTTTGTGGATATCTTCATGGTGTACTAAAATAAATGTGACAAGGTTTTTTAAAAAAGATGTTAGAATTTCACTTATTTTTAGATATTCGATAAGGAAAATGAAGAAGTAAAACTATATGGCAAAAATCCAGCATGAATTTCTATGACATAAAAGGACTGAGAACTACAAATGATACCAGTTTTCTAATTGCTACACAGGATATTACTTGGTGAATCTTCAAGAAATTACATAAGGCGTATGAGATTATACTTAAAATTTGGAGAACATTACAACTCTTAAAGTCTCACGCTGGTGTCCTTTAGTCATAAAACCATTGCATTAATGAGCTATAAGGAACTTGTATGAGCCACTCAAAGCAAAAACCTTAGTAGGCTTTGGAAGTCTTTGCCCACATAATACAGACGCTTTGAACTGGCAACAGAATATCATCTACTTTACTGGGTATTTTTTGGAGATGTTACCTCTTCCTAAAGCAAAAGAAAAACAGTATTACTATGCTATTTATTTTTTATAATACCCATGTTGTCATCAGTTAAACATTTTAATTGAGTTTATAGACGTATTTTGAATTGGAAAAGATTCATGGCTGGGCGCAGCTCACGCCTATATTCCCAGCACTTTGGGGAGGCTGAGGCCGGTGGATCACCTGAGATCAGGAGATCGAGATCAGCCTGACCACCATGGTGAAACCCTGTCTCTACTAAAAATACAAAATCAGCCGGGTGTAAGGGCACATGCCTGTAATCCCAGCTACTCAGGAGATTGAGGCCGGAGAATTGTTTGAACCTGGGAGGCGGAGGTTGCAGTGAGCCAAGATTGCGCTATTGCACTCCAGCCTGGGCAACACGAGTGAAACTTCATCTCAAAAAACAAAAAAAAAGAGAAAAGATTTGTTTGCTTTTAGGCTAAGATTAGCTAGAAGTTGGAAAAGCCTAAATAAGTCTTAGGAAAATGTAGTCCGTATTTTAACCTTCATAATATTATGGTATCATTGTAATATCTTAATTTTTGATAATCTTTTATTTGTTGGATTAATAGGTAGAACGGAAGCTTAAGTATCAGAAATATTTAGTCTTATATGTAAATAATTAACATAAAGTGTTACTTTTTATAGGAAAACTTTAGAGACTTACAGATTCTTTTAGCAAATTCTTAATATTTTGTATATTCATATTGTTTTTGCTTTTTGAGACAGAATCTCTCTCTGTCGCCCAGACTGGAGTGCAGTGGCACTATCTCAGCTCGCTGTAACCTCCACCTCCCGGGTTCAAGCAATTCTCATGCCTCAGCCTCCCGAGTAGCTGGGATTAGAGGTATGCACCACCACACCCAGCTAATTTTTGTATTTTTAGTAGAGACAGGGTTTTGCAGTGTTGGCCAGGCTGGTCTCAAACTCCTGACCTCAGGTGATCTGCCCACCTTGGTCTCCCAAAGTGCTGGGATTACAGGCGTGAGCCACCGCGCCTGGCCTGTATATTCATATTATACCTGCAATAATATAGAATACTGTGTTTCATGTATTACATAACCTGTGTGTTGCTTAAAGTATGGTTTCTGTGTTCTGGAAAGTATCAGGGTAAGGTAAAAAGACCAACGCCTTTTTAGTTGTGCAAAACTGAGTACCAGCTCTGTCCATTTTAGCCATTTGCCTTTGAGGAAATTATTTAAGCTCCTGAGCCTCAGTATCCTCTTCTGTAAAATAATATCTGATTTAATGAAAGATTTGGTTTGCTCTTACAACATGTTTAGATTTCATTATTTGAAGAAACTTGGGTGTTCCAAGTCCTCATGGTTAAAAACCTGATTTAAAAACCCAGTATTAGGCCGGGCACAGTGGCTCATGCCTGTAATCATAGCCACTTGGGAGGCTGAGGCAGGAGAATCACTTGAACCCAGGAGGTAGAGGTTGCAGTGAGCCAAGATTGTGCCGCGGTACTCCAGCCTGGGTGACAGAGCGAAAGAAAGAAAGAAAGAGAGAGAGAGAGAGAGAGAGAGAGAGAGAGGGAGAGAGGGAGAGAGAGGGAGGGAGGGAGGGAGGGAGGGAAAGAAAGAAGAAAGAAAGAAAGAAAAAGAAAGAAAGAAAGAAAGAAAGAAAGGAAGGAAGGAAGGGAGAAAGAGAAAGAGAGAAAGAGGAAGGAAGGAAGGAAAGAAGGAAAGAAAGAAAAGAAAGAAGAAAGAAAAGAAAGAAAGAAAGAATTAAAAAAAAACAGTATTGAGGTATAATAATGTGACTTTATTCAGGAGAGTCAGTGAAGCATAGTGGTTTTAGAAGTTCAAGATCCAGAGTAAGTTACAGTCTTGATCTCCCCAAGCCTCACTTCCTTCATCTCTAAAATGATGGGAATAATAATAGGACTCATTATACAAGATTGGTGTGAGGAGTAAGTGAGGTTAAACAAGTAAAGCATCATCATCCTCATCACCCCTGTTTCTACAGCAACAATATTGTGAGGGGGTTTGCTTCTGTAACTGTTTTCCATTGTATACTGTAACATTTTATTTTTCGAAATTTTACTTTATACTGGAACATTTTAAATCTTAAAATATTAATAAGGATAGTATGTATTATCCGGGAACCACCGAGTAGGGTGTTAGGAAAGCACAAACTCATAGTATATTGTCATCAGCAGTGAAACACTTTAAGTGCATCAAAATTTGATCAAACTCCAACGGAATTTATCTTAAATTTGACCTGGTTTCTGAGAAAATTTAATTTCTAAAAAAGGAGAGAAACATGTTTTTTTTGGTCAGGTTGGGGAGATAAATGTGACAACTATCCACATGACACTTCATATTATTGATATTTCAGGGCTGGAAAAGGAGGTGGTAGGTAACTCATTTTCAGCTCCTTAAGGCATTGTTATCTGAAGTAAAAACAGGAAAGGACTATGGAAACTCTCACTTTGATCACTGCCCTGGGTGCACACTTAGAAACTTGTACTTTGAGAAACTGGCGTTGTAACCTGACACCTCAACAATTCAATAACTTTCTTTTATATTTCTTATACTTAAATGTTGAAATGAATGAAATACCTTTCTTTCCCTACTAATTAGCTTTATGAAGATTTATTTAGATTCTTTTGTGGAAAGATGTTTTGTTTTGTTTTTAGTAGTGTTGGAACGTAATATTGAAAATGACAAAGTGACATGTCATGTGTTTACAGTTTAGTTCGCAGTGTGGTGTTTTTCCATTATATAAAAAATTAAGGTTTGTTGTTTTGCCACTTAGTGCATATACATTATTTTTCCAATTGAGAATAGCTTTTTTTTTCTGTTTCTGTTTTAAGAGCTTGTTAGTCCCTTGTGCTTTGCCTTCATGGAGATTTACAAGCGCTATTAGATGGAATTGTTCTCACTTAGACTTGGCACTAGTTTATATGTTGGATTGTTAATGATCCGTTTTTATTTTAGCCTCTACTTTGATTTTAACTAAATTTAATCACATTTATGCTTACCCAGTAACAGAGTGTTTCTAAAGCTAGTTTTTATGGGGGAGAGGGGATTTGTTGAGGGGATTGTTCTTTCATACAACATGAAAGCATGATCCATGAGAGAAGAAAGTGGTAAGTTGAACTATATTAAAAAATAAGACGTTTGCACTGTGAAAGACACTGTTAAAATATAAAAAGACAAGCCACAGAGTAGGAGAAAATATTTGCAAAACACGTATCTGTGATAAAAGACAGGTATACAAAATACATTTTAAAAATTCTTGGCTGGGTACGGTGGCTCACACCTGTAATCCCAGAACTTTGGGAGGCCGAGGCAGGTGTATCACCTGAGGTCACGAGTTCAAGACCAGCCTGGCCAACATGGTGAAACCCTATCTCTACTAAAGATACAAAATTAGCCGGGTGTGGTGGCGCATGCCTGTAATTCCAGCTACTCGGGAGGCTGAAGCAGGAGAATCACTTGAAGCCGGGAGGCGGAGGCTGTGGTGAGCTGAGATTGCACCATTGTACTCCAGCCTGGGCAACAAGAGTGAAACTCCGTCTCAAATAAAATAAAATAAGATAAAAATAAAATAAAATAAAATGCAAAATATGGCCGGGTGCAGTGGCTCATGCCTGTAATCCCAGCACTTTAGGAGGCCGAGGTAGGTGGATCACTTGAGGTTAAGAGTTTGAGAACAGACTGGCCAACATGGTGAAACCCCATCTCCTCTAAAAATCTCCTCTAAAAATACAAAACTTAGCCAGGCTTGGTGGTGCACGCCTGTAATCCCAGCTACTCAGGAGGCTGAGGCATGAGAATCTCTTGAACTCAGGACAGGGAGGTTGCAGTGAGCTGTGATCTCGCCACTGCACTCCAGTCTAGGTGACAGAGCAAGACTCTATCTCAAAAATAAATAAATAAAAATAAAATAGGCTGGGTGCGGTGGCTCTTGCCTGAAATCCCAGCACTTTGGGAGGCCGAGATGGGCAGATCACCTCAGATAAGGAGTTTGAGACCAGCCTGGCCAAAATGGCGAAACCCGGCCTCTACTGAAAATGCAATAATTAGCCAGGCGTGATGACGAGGCCTGTAATCCCAGCTACTTGGGCGGCTGAGGCATGCTAATTGCTTTGCTATTGTGAACAGTGCTGCAATGAACATACATTGCTCGAACCTGAGAGGCGGAGATCGCGCCACTGCACTCCAGCCTGGGTGACAGAGCACGACTCTATCTCAAAAATAAATGAATAAATAAATAAATAAAAATAAAATGGCAAAATATCTGTTCACCTTACCAAAGAACATATAAGGATGGCATATGAAAACATCATATGAGCCAGGCATGGTGGCTCTCGCCTGTAATCCCAGCACTTTGGGAGGCCAAGGCAGGCGGATCACGAGGTCAGGAGATCGAGACCATCCTGGCTAACACAGTGAAACCCTGTCTCTACTAAAAAATACAAAAAC